AACCTCAATGGTTGAACGGTTGTACTGTTCTAGGCATTTGGTAACAGGAAACAGTTGTCACATTATTGGTCAGGATATTTATACATTTAACGGCATTTCCAACGAGGTCATGTAATACTTATTTCGTCCACTTGGGGGAGCTCAGGTTACATGAGGAAAGCTTGGATTACATTAGATGAAGGAGTGTCTTGCTGAAAATAAAAACACTGCACAAGTAACTTCTTTTCAGCACTAATATCAACAACAGATAGCAACAACAATTAACATAACTACTCAAATAGAGGCAAACGTAATCAGGTAACTAAAGATTTAATTAACTTAATTAAATGCTTTGAGTCTTTGGAGACTGCAGTCCTTTTACATTGAAAGTTCAGTGTCTGGACCATGTCACACATGGGTGAGACAAGGAGTATCCTTTTTGATGTGGTAATAAAACAAAGAATAAGGTCAGTTGCCACGGAAACATGTGTGGGGGGCCAGTTTTGATAGGCTGTTCAGAGAGATGCCAATGGCTGGTTCGTGTCCCTTTGTCAGTTTAACAGTCAGGCCCCGCGTTATCAGCTTCGGAATCAAAAAGGTGCCAGTTTCATGGTCGGGATAGCACTTAGAGAAAGCAACTTTGACCCCTCCCCTTCTTCTCTGGGGAGGAGAAAGGAATTTAGGGTAGCTCCAAATTTATTCAATATAAAATGCACAAATCCACACCGTTGTTCACTACAATTCTGTCAGAGAGATAGCCTATTATGAACCTGTTGAAGAGCTGACACCCGCAACGCAGCACTGACACCTGCATTACAGCTGTTAATAGCACTACATTTTTATGCAAATGGTCCGGATCGCGGCACCATCTGAGCATGAGTATCTGTATGTCAACCGCACGGGATAACATTCAATAAATGTGCAGATTGCTTGTTACGCCAATTATAACATCTTTAATTTGGTGGCACGGTGGCCTGGATCTACCCATGATGCACGCATCCTCCGAGAGAGTGCGTTATACCAGGATTTCAAGGCTGGAAGAGTAAACGGGCTGCTTCTCGGCGACAGCGGAGACCCACTGAAACACTGGCTGATGACGCCTATAATTGCTCCGAGGACTGAGCAAGAACGACAGTATAACACCATCCACACCACCACTAGGTCCCTCGTTGAGCGGTGCATCGTGGTCCTCAAGCACAGTGTCTGTGCTGCTATCCATGGTGCTGATTTAGTGCGGCCACTAGATCACTGAAGATTATATAAATAGACTAGGCCTAGACTATAGAACAAAACTCGCCAAAAGTGACACATTTAGGTTTTACAGTAATCATTAACATGTATCATTGTTTTTTCTAGGTTTCATTGTCTTCATGGAGAGATGTGGATGCACCCTGAGTGAGTCTGCACCGTAATAGCAGCGTGCACTGTCCTCCACAACATCTGTGTCTCCCTAGGCAACACCATCAGCCGGTGCCGGAGGAAGGTGCCGACCCTGTGGACCATGCAGGGCATGACGGTGTCGGTGGACGACTAGTCCGTACACGCATTATTAATGCTTTATTAAACTGTTGTAAACTATTGCTTCACTTAAAATAATTCTGAAAAATAAGCCACAAAGAAAGTCCAGTAGGTTTATAATAAACTTTTTAAATTTACATACAATTGTCATTGATTCATTGCACACAATTTGCAATTAGGCTTATTTACAGAATTACAAAAGACCGCCCGTCCTCTTCAGAAACATGCAAAGATGACCTGCTTATCTGTTGTTGGAGCAACTGTATTTCTAACGATATTTTTTGTTTTTCAAGTTCCAGATTTTCCTGCTCGGTCTGTAATTTCTTTCTCAAGAAGTGTCTGCTGCAGGTCGTCCAGCCTCCTCCTCCGTTTCACCGGCGGTGCACCACTGCTGAGAACTTTGTGGAGTGACTGGGGCCTCGATCGAGTCTGAAAATACAGAGAATCTATCATAGGCCTACTGTTATCTGACAACTACTAAAACTGTTATTGTAGGCTACTCTAATATATATATAGGCTACACACCTTCACAATTCACACGGTCAAGCAATCGTTAATCACCTCTGTTATCTGTTGTTTTTTTCTTCTTGTTAGTTATTGAGTTTGATTGATTGGCAGTCACTGTGTGTCTGTGCTGACTGTACAGCTCTATTAACTTTCGTATGTAAAAGACTAGAAAGGCGCTATACAAGTACGGAGCATTTACATTGATACGGCTACAAGTTAACAAAACAGTGGAAGTGGAACAATGTAACGCACGCTGTTAGGCATCTGCTATAGTTCTGTGGCCATTCACATGAACGCGCATCGCTAAGAACAGGTGTAGTTAACCCTAGGCTTAAGTTTGGCATTAGGTCAACTCTAAAGACTGGTCTTAACTAAGACCTACTTAGCAGTTAGGACCAGGCTTAGTAAAGCCCTGTTGGTGCAACCGGCTCCTGGTGCCCAGAGTTACTGCAATCACTCTCAGAGAGATTGGCCACGCACACACATAACCCCACAGGGCGTCACAGTATACACAAACATTACACACTTGCATTATTCATTGAATGAATACCACTAGATTGGTGGCTTCCTGCCTTTTCTTCAGCACTGAGAAGCAAGGTCCAGTGAGGCCTTCAAGTTAGAGGACTGCGCCTATACTCGTAGAATCTGGAGTTACGATACGTAACTACCGTAACTACCGCTTCGCCCTCTAAGGCTGTTGTTATTGGGTCAGAGGCCAAGCAGGATGAGTCAATGCCTCTCCAAGCCCATAAGGTAGCACCAAGCACAAACCCACCTACCCAGAGCCATACAATGAGCCACCCAGTCACTCGCAGTCCACAGCATTGGTGTTGGCGTGCACACGAGCACCAACGGCACGACATGGGAGGCAGAGGACCGACCCATGTGTAATAGCCGGGGAATCGGGCGGGGGGGGGGGGGGGGGCACAGCTGTACAGATGCAGGCAAGGTCACGACCGCCTCAGAGAGCAGGGCCAGCGCGAGCAGCTGGCGCACCGCACACTCACGAGGGAAAATCACTCAGCCAAAACACAGTAGTGAGTGAGTCAGCGAGAAACGGGGGTCGTCCCGCGGGCTCAGTGAAAACCACAGGGCACACTGAGCTTTCTCTCGTTTGGCAAACATCACACATGCACAGTGCACAACGATGTCACACACCTCTGGATGCAGGAGGAGGGACTGCGTCGGTGATGCTGTGGTCACGCACGAGCCCGCAGCCGGGCTCTGCCGGGAGGGACATGCGTAATGTGTTGAGCCGCAATAGGATAACACCACTGTAGTTGTTGTAAGAAGCGTAATGTCTGTTTTGAGGGCTCATATGACACAGCCTGCCTGGTCAGACAGGCTGGACCCACAGAAGACTGTTGCTACCACCTTCCTCTGGCTGGTAGAGCGGGAGTGTCCCAGCGGCTCCCCGCTTCCCCCGTTCAAACATTGCTATGTTGCTGCTGCGAGGCAACATTGATCGTGGATCAATATATTTGACTGTCACAACCCGAGCGAAATGACTGGTTTCACTATCAGAATGAGGTGATCCATCTGGTCTACAACAGCCGTACAGCCGCACGTATACAATTTTACCCCCATTCGCGTTAGCGGAGAGCTGAACTGGAAGTTAGCCTGCTCAGCTGGCAAAAGTAAACACAGTGGACGCTGTAGCGCTACCGCCGACTAGTGTTTGGAGGTGTAATTGCAGAATGACGGAGACACCGACACAAGTATGAATGCATGGCAAGTATAAATCAAGCTTCAGTCTCCACCCCTCCCCCCAAGTCATTACAACCAGTCAGGTGAGACGACAGCTCACCAGAACCCAGATCATCGAGGCCAGAGGACCCGACGACATCCACCCGAGGCTCCTCAAGAGCCCCTTTTTCCACCGCATGGTACCAGCTCGACTCTACTCTCCTTTTTTTGGTTTTCCATAGTGGAAAAGTTGTACCTGTACCTGCTTCCAGATACTTTCAATTTCCACCATACAACAAATAACAAACCATGACATGCATCCAACACAATACAATACATTTACACAGGTGGGTGAGGGGGTTGAGGGTGGGGGGCCCCTGGAGTCCCGGAGCATGCACTCTCACTAACAATAAAGGTGGTATGTCCTGAGTTGTTTAACACATCAAGATGTGAATACCAGAACTCTGTCTGAACTCTGTCTGAACCCTCCAATACTTTTGGAGGGGACTGTATAAACACCCACAGACCAACATGTACACCCACACACTTACAGATACACACAAACACACACACACACAGACATATACACCCACAGACACACACAAAACACAAAGAAATTAGGTATCCTTGGTTGTCAACAGTTAGTTGCATTATTCTTTATGCATGTCAATAGGTTGTCCTGTCTGTTTGTGTGATGTTTGTGCCCCCCACCCCCATTTCTGCCCAATAGGCTAATTAAATAAATACAAAAAGACGATACCGGACTTAAATTTAAAACTTTCTTGTTAAAGCAAACATGGTACTTAGCAGTATACACGGTATACAGCTCCTCATACTGCATCCCAGGCTGCTGGGCGTGACAGGGTTAAAAAAAAACAATGCACGACTTGGTGTCCATGTCCTGTTTCAGGACACCTGAGGGCTCGTTCTGGTCTGATCTGAGGTCATTATCAGTGTTACAACATGGGCATTTTCCACAGACTAGCTAATAGACAGTCTGCTGAGCTTTACTGTTTTGCAGCTCTCCTGTCTGTGTCCTCTCAGTCAAAAACATACAAGTTTATTAGCAACTCTAACTTTCGAAAAATGTGTGATTTGTTTCTCTGTATGTGTCAGCCCTGTAGCTCGGCACAACCTGCTCAGTTATTCACTTAGATGCTTGTTTTGACTAAACACAAACCTTATTTCCTGCTAACTGCTTTAGAGAAAACCACAACGGTATCAGTGATATAGAAAGAGGAAGGAGGTGGGATTTGCTTGGTGCGAGTGGTAAATGTTGATCTCAGATGACCAAGATCTAAAATGGAGGAATGGTCTTTACTGTGGCTGTTAGGTAAGTAAAAATCTACTTAATGTGTGAATGTTTGTCTCCATGTCGTCTCAAAAATTAGTTCTAAAACATGTCTGGTGTTTTTGAAAGCAGCAGCGAGTTACAGAGTGAATAATGTGAATACAAAGACAGAATTCAGCCAAATACCGTCAAATGATCAAATACAAATTAGCTACGACAAGAGAACAAGAATTTGAGTGATCATTCTTTGGTAATATATCAGCAAAGAAAAATAAAACATTACTAAAAAGTGTTTCAATTGTGTTTCTTTCAATGAAAATGAAAATTCTGATGCACAAAATTAATTCCCAATGATCACAAATCATAATATCTGACAAAATAATTGAAATATGATTTTTTTTTACCTCAAGCAGTCCTAATATTTATTACACTGAATCTTAAACAAATATAATTTGTTGTTTCCACATCTAACATCAACATGTGGCTGTTTTTCTGTTCACTACAAGCAGGTTGTGTTGTAGAAAGTCCAGATGTCTTGTTTCATGTTAAAACCTCAAACCAACCTGAGTGTGTTTTCTCTTTAGTTCTGACCTCACTGCTGAGCTGCACAACAAACCAAGGTGAGAAAACTTCTTCTGTCACAGCTGAAAGGTTATTCACTCCCTGATAGAACAGTTAGTGTTTAGGACAGTGTTTGGGGAGGGAAACAGCCACTTTACAAATACAATAAAACACTGAATGCAGTTTTGATGCCACAGTGTTGCAGACTGGAGCCAAAGCTGAAACTGCTGCTGTAAAAATGTTATTCTGAAACTACACAGCATGATGCATTTTACATTTACATTTACTCATTTGGCAGACGCCTTTATCCAAAGCAACTTACATTTGAGGAACAACAAGCAACAACAGAGCATCAAATAGAGATTACAAATACAGATCTACATACTAGTAAGAGCAGCAATAAATACTAGTAGGAGCTCACAGCACATATCACATAAATGGGGTAAATACCAAGGGAAATAAGTATGAGCTAACTAAAAGTGCAAACTACACAGGATAATAGTAAGAGGATAGAAGAAGAAGAGCACAGGAAGTGCATGTAAGAGTTTAGAGGTGTTATTAGAGGAAGTGTACTCGGAAGAGATGAGTTTTCAAGAGCTTCTTGAAGCTTGAGAGGGACGCCCCTGCTCTGATGGCGTGTGGTAGCTCGTTCCACCGTCGTGGTGTCACAGATGAGACCAGCCGGGACTGGTTTGCTTTGTGTGAAGGGATGGCGGAGCCAGGCGGCGTTCGTTGGAGGAGCGTAGCGGCCGAGAAGGAACATAAGTTTGTATTATAGAGTTTAGGTAGATGGGTGCAGACCCATGATGCAGTAAGAATTACATAAGTAAGAAAGACAGATGTAGCCAGATCTTCTGCTGTGTGTTTGACACAAACTTTGAGAGTAAAATTGAAAAACATTTGAAAACATTAGTCTGTCAGCTCACATCTCAGTTTGATTCAGATTTCTTCTCTGAAACACAGAGATCAATTCAGCAGTGAAGAAGTGACAGTGAGAAAGCAGGAATATGAGGAATGCAGAGAAAAAAAAACGCAAATTATCTCTTAAACCACATCTTTCTGTCTCTTCCTCCAGCCTCTCTGACTGTGAGTCCCAGCAGCTCTCAGCTGTTTAGAGGACAGTTTTTCTCTCTGAGCTGTGAGGAGGACGACAGCTCTGCTGGATGGACGCCGAGGAGGAACACAACCAGAGAAACCAGGACTCAGTGTGGAGCTGGCTGGGGAAGATCAGCTGGTTCTTCTTGTAACATCAGTTACATTTTTGCATGGGACAGTGGAGTTTACTGGTGTGAGTCCAGCGAGGGAGGAACCAGGAACACCATCAACATCACTGTCACTGGTAAATTCAGACTACTGTAATCTGTGATTTAATGGGTCTAATGAGGTGTGACCGGATCAATAACAAACACAGGGACTCTGAACACTTTGTCAGTGTTATTCAGCATTTCTCTTTGTCTATTGACTAAAATCAAAGGCAAAACTTTAACCCAGAAATAAAAAGAAAGAAAAGAAGACACTGAGTGAAGAACCAAGAGTAGCCAAGAAATTAGCCTTAACCCACCATACGTAAATAATTATTTGTGTAATACTGTTGTAGTGTCTGTTCAGTGCACACACAGTGTGTGTTTGCAGGCTGGAAAACAGCAGGTGTCCATGTCATGTATTACTTTTGTTTTGATTTTTCATCCGTGTCATGCTGAGGCCTGCAGATTTGAACTAGAGGTGACTGTCTTCATATAACAAACTGCATGTTCTCACACACCATCTTCACCAACTTGACAACACATGCGCAGTATTTGTAAAACACTTCAAAGTGAGAAAGCACCACGAATAGAAGCGATGCAACATGTGTTGTCAAATTTATCAACATGTTAATTTTGCTCCTGTTTTGTCTTTTTAAGTTAAGCTTGGTGTTGAGCTTTTGGGACAATCGTATTACGCACACCTTCTGCTGGATCTCGGCAAAACAATCCAACTTTACTGTAGCAGAGACAACACCACCAACATTACAAGCGAAAACCAGCTGAGTTTAGATATACACAGATCAGCCATAACATTATGATCACATGCCTAATATTGTATAGGACCTGTTTTTGAAGCCAAAACAGTCCAGATCCGTCGAGGCATGAACTCCAGTAGACCTCTGAAGGTGTACTGTGGTATCTGGCACCAAGACAATAACAGCAGATCCTTTAAGTCCTGTAAGTTGCGACGTAGAACCTTTGGAATTAGGAGGCCAAGCCAACACCTTGAACTCGTCGTTGTGTTCCCGAAACCATTCCTGAAGCACTTTTGCTTTATTGAAAGATGCCACAGTCATCAGGGAATAACGTTTCCGAGAAAAGGTGTACATCAGGGATTATAAATTCACATCCAGCACCGCAGCAACCTCCATGTGGCACATAATCTAATGACAACAAAGGTAAACTAAAAGTGTATGGAAGAAGCTAAAGAGTGAGCTGTATCGTTTCCTCTTTGTTGAGTTTCACATGCGCTGCACCGATCACCGCCAATCAAGGCTCAACTGTCCGACCTGCAGCCTCTCTGCTCCTCTGTGTCTCTGCAGGGCGCCTCTACTTCACACATACCACGGAGCAAAGTCGGCCAGCTGATCAGAGGACATTAGACATTGACAACAACTACACTCGTTAAGTACATGGTGCAATAAAAGTCCATACTTTACCAACGCACCAGTTTAATAAGCATAAACACGCAAAACCCGATGTTTTAATCTGCTGAGTCTCTCATCCACTGCAGCCCTGTTTAGGATTTACACAAGCACAGCGCTAGTTCAGCTAAAGTGGCAAACTAAGCTTAATAGTCACTAAAGACAGACAGTTTTCACTTATTGTTAAAAACAAGCTAAAGTGAAAGCTGTCTGTCTTTAGTGACTATTAAGCTTAGTTTGCCAGTAGCCTACCTTAATATATGTCACATTATAAACTCAGCTCAGTGGCGGAGACAGACGCTGCTCTCTTCCAGCAGCAGCAGAGGGAGGAGGAGGACAGGAGGGACTGAATTGTTCATTCCTTCTAAACATCACTCAGTATGTTGTTGGTTAATATGGTTTATTTTACTGACATTTTAGATTTGTTTCCAGTGAGATATTAGTGACTTTGCTGTTGTAAATCCTGTTGCTGCTCTAGAAACAACATTTAGTTCATATATATATTTAGTTAAAATATCATATTATTGTTTCAAATAATATATGCAATTATTTAGTAATATAAGACTGATAAGAGCATCAATAAAGAACTAATAAGGATTACCAATACAAGTGACAAAAAAATCCAAATCATACCCATCCGAAAATGTCCGGCCCATCTCCCTGTCCTGGGTTTAAAATCCAGCCCAATTGAATTTCTAATTGAATGGCCCTGGTGTACATGGTCACTGGTTCACTTGCCCATTTTCCTGCTTCTAACAAATCAACTATGAGGACACAATGTTGACTTGCTGCCTAATATATAATATATATAGGTCACAAAAGCGTGTTAGTGTTGATGAAGCTGTGTGTAAATGATGAAATGCTGTAGTTTGTCTCTGTGTTGAGGTGGACCAGTGATCCTGCAGAGTCCTGTCCTCCCTGTGATGGAGGGACATGATGTCACTCTGCACTGTAAAACAAAGACCCCTCCCTCCAACCTCCCAGCTGGTTTCTATAAAGATGGCTCCCTCATCAGGACTGAGCCTACAGGTCACATGACCATCCACCATGTTAACAAGTCTGATGAAGGCCTCTACAAGTGTAACATCAGCGGTCGTGGAGAGTCTCCATCCAGCTGGATCTCTGTCACAGGTGAGGAGGTTACCTTTGATTTCAGGATTTATTTCATCCAGAGATTCACCTGACCAGGTGGATTCTCTCTACAGGTAAACCTAAAACCACAGCCCCGCCCACATACAGAGCTCTGCCCCCAACATCAACTACTGTATTTGACCTGACACCCTCTGCAGACCCGCCCCCAACATCAACTACTGTATTTGACCTGACACCCTCTGCAGACCCGCCCACCTCTGCTCCTCTGCCCACTCCGACATCACCTGCCTCAGACCCCCTCCAGCTTGTGTTCAGACTGATCTGCCACCTGGTGGTCTTCTGTCCGTACTGCATCTCCACTGTCGTCATGGTGTCTTTATATCGACGCAGGGCCACAGGTAACACTCTGAATCACTGACCTTACAAACAATGATCCATCAATCAAGCAATCAGTCTCACACTGTCACTGGTGTTAATGATCGACAGTTTTCTATAACAGATAAATTCACTACATTTTTTTTATAACCTGCTCTGACTGCAGGAAATGGCCTACCTGTCTCAATGGTGATGACGCCACCCACCCAGGCTGAGGAGGGATTGGATGATGACTGTGATGATGTCATCCCTGCTGTCACCACAGAGCATCACTTCTGAGTTGATCCAGTGTGTTCAGTGTGTTCTGGCTCTTAATGAAGCTGAATGTTTGAGTCATCAGCAAATAAACCTCAGATTTCCTTCATAGGTCACAAACAGCAGAGGACCCAGAACACTTCCCTGTGGAACTCCTCATGTTCTAGTTTGACTTAGATGATGTTGAACTCAGGATCTCAGACTTCCGCAGCAGCTACAGTCTCACTTTAAACTCTTCTAATCTTATTTACTGCTTTTAACCCCTTGACGCCAATTGTCGTGAATTCGCATCATACCTTTTCCTTGCAGACTGCAAGCCAAGATAGCACATGGATTCCCCTGATGCCTGTTGGTGCATATTCGATACGAACCTAGGAACCTTTCGCAAGCCCTGGTTCTCGTTTATGCCTGTTGTCGCTAATTTGCATCATACCTACACATACCTGAATTTATATCTTTTCCATGTTCTATAGACAAATTAACAATCTTCACTTAATTTATCATCATCTTGAAAGCGAATGAAAACACAAATAATTTTTTGATTCTAAAAATTTCAGGCGTCAAGAGGTTAAAGTTTTTAATAAACCTCACACAATCAACCAAATCTCAGTCTCTGTGTCATGCTAAGTTAAATAAAAGTTAAAGCTGAACATAAGACGTGTGTTGTCTGTTTGACAAAAAGTAAGGATGACCTTAACACAATAATTGTTGTTGGTAGATAGACGCCTATGTGTCATGGTGGAGCTCAACTTAATTGATTTCATGTGGGAGAAGGCAGATTCACTAGGTTGATCCAAACAGAAAGTGCTCACAGACAAAAGGCTCGCTCCTCATGTTGGGATACTTCTCCTGTGAAAGCAGCCCCAGAATTAAGTCTTCATGTCTCTGGTTGTCCTGGATCTCTTTTGATCCTACACATCAATATCTGTACTAAACACGACACTTTGTCTCTTAGAAATTGTATGGATTTCCATGAAATGTGGTTCAGACATTCAGGTTGAAATGCAATATCGTTGGTGATGCTCTAACATTTCATCTAGCGTCAACATCAGGTCAACATTTAAATAAATAAATACCTGCAGTACTAAGGACATTCCCGTCAGCCTCAGCTGGACTTTGTGTTTACTGCTAATTAGCTGATTTAAGCATGCTAACTAAGATGATAACTGTGATAACTGCTATTCATTAGCAAGTTAGCATTTTCCTTGTGAGCATTTTTGCATGGTGATGTTGCACAGCTGCAAGAACGCCTGTGGGCCTGTGTGAATACAAAGACACCATGAGATGTATACGGGGAGAATACCATGATGTGGCCGGTCATTCTCAACACAGATAGGATTGGATCTGCAGGGGATGGAGCTGTGACAGAAAATTATGATGAGTATTTCATCATAATCAATTCAGTTCAATTAAATCAACTTTATTAATCCCATAAGGGGCAATTAGTTAAGAGCAGCATGTTTGCAACAGTACATAACACAAATCACACACATTATTCACAACATACAAGCAGCCAGTATGTGCACATTTAAAAACCCCAAAGAACCTTACAGGGAGTTTAAAAGTTTGATCGACGAGGGGGATAAAAGATTTGGAGTGGCGGTTCGCCTTACACTCAGCGTATAATGACGCCCAGAAGCCAACAGAGAGAATTCACCGGGCAGAGCAGAGAGGCTAGGATACTTGCTGCCTTCCAAACTATTTGTTAGATGCAGGAGACATTAAGGTCTCTCTGTTTCACACCAATGATTTTAGAACAGATCTTTACAGTGTTGTTCAGGCTGTTTCTGCCTTTAACTGTCAGATAGTGAAACCAACATAAAAATTTAAAAAGACTCTCAATAAAAGACTGATAGAATCTAGACAGGATGACCGGCGTGACAGTGAAGCTTAGTTTGAGGAGAAGATGAATTCTCTGTTGCCCCTGCTTCACAATGGCGGCGCTGTTTATATCGAACTTAAAATGGTGTCCAAGTTTTAATACGATGAGAGAATTTCCACCTTTTCATTATGTATGATGCTCTCTGAAGCAGCATCTCTATTTTGCCCAAAGTCTATAATTAATTATGTGGTTTTAGATACATTTAAGTCAAGGAAATTGTTATCTCACCATGAGATAAAGTCAGTCAGAGCATTCCCATGGTCAGATACTGGACCTGGGAGAAGTGACAACAACGCAGTGTCATCGGAAAACTTCACCAAATAGCTGCTCTCCTGGGCGCTTCTGCAGCCATTTGTGTACACGACAAAAAGAAGCGGTGAAAGGAGGCACCCTTGAGGTGATCCTGTAGAAAGCAATAAGGAGTCTGAGAAATTACCATTTACAAAGACCCTCTGCTCTCTAACAGTTAAAAAATCTAAAATCCATAAAACAAGTTGGTGAGGCAAGCTAAAATCACACCGCAGCTTGTCTATTAAAATATGTGTTTGCATTGTATTAAAAGCTGAAGAAAAGTCTGCAAACAGAAGCCCGGCATGGGATTTTGGTTTGTCTAAATGCTTATATAAGCTATTCATGATAAAAAGCTTTGCATCCTCTACTCCCCTCCCCGCTCGATAGGCAAATTGCAGGGGATAGGACCAGGTTTTTAATGATTTCCTCTAATACCTCGAATACTCATAATTAGTGATGTTAAAGCAACAGGCCTGAAATCGTTTAGTTACCCTGGTTTGCTGATCTTAGGAACCGGGATCACTTTGGATGATTTCCAGGGAATTACACTACTATCCAGTGACACCTGGAAGATGTGCTGGCCACAGCCTACAGATAATGTCTGTCTCTGCAATAATAAACTAACATTGCAAGTAAGTCTCTGAGTGCTCACTCCAGTTAGTCTTTACCCCAAGAGAGGGAGTTCAAGTACCTGGGGGTCTTATTCGCGAGTGAGGGGACAATGGAGTCCTTTGCATCAAAAGGAGCCAGTTAAGAAAGTTCAGACATGGTAAGGATGCCCCCTGGGGGCCTCGGGGAAGACCCAGGACTAGGTGGAGATATATGTCTGGGAACGCCTCGGTGTAATCCCTCTCAAAGCTGGTTTATGTGGCTCAGGAAAAGGAGGTTTGTGGTCCCCTTGCTGGAGCTGCTGCCCCAGTGACCCAACCAGACATACGTGGTTGAAGATGGTTGAAGATGGTTGAATGATGGATTGATTGCAAGTAAGTTTTCCTGTGTGCATCTCACATTGTTTTTTTTGCACAAGTTTCAAGTTGAATTGAGAGCTTTAAGCGTCCAAAGGTTGATACACACACACTGAAAGAATTGGAAAGTTATAGCCACCAAAAAGATTTTACCTGATGTAAACTGCCAACATCAGGTAAGATCACTAACACACGGCTCATGTGCATGTGTCAGTAATAATAATCATATACGAACCATGATCTTGAACATGACCGCTTTTATGATCACTCTGTCATCATGTATGGACAGAGACATCGTGGATTTATCCTCAGCACAGAATAAAATCTATAGACAGCACTGTTCTTTAAAGCTCTGTGGACACAAGGCAGCTGGAAACAGGTGCACTGAAACATTCCTGTCTTAGTTATCATGTTGAAGATGATGTGAAAATTTCTGAGTGAGGATGACTGCAGTGCAGCTGAAACAAATTAATGTAGTTTAAAAGTGAGTTTTTTTTATTATTAGCTGCAGTCCAAATGTGTCTTTCATCAAATTAGGAAATGAGCAAGATTTTATTAATGTAAAATAGTCTAAAACTTTTTTAGACACATTTACACTGCAAAAAAAAAAAATTAACAGGCTAACCTACTGGGTCAGACTGACTTTACAATCACAAGTGACCTCTGTCTTATATTTGATCCTCCATCTGAATCTCTCTGTCGCTCCTTTCTCTTCACTGCAGTCATGAGAGGGAAACTACTTGATAAATGAGGAACAACAGACCTGATCAAAGAACTAAACGTGTCCTGGATACAGCATGGACCAAAACAATAAAGAACACAACTCAAGTTTCTAAATGTAACATGAAAATATTTATTGTCCCAAAATAGAGTTAAAAGTTAATCACTTTAAGGACATTTGTGCAGATTGCAAGTTATTGCTTTTTGTTTAATTCATATTATTACATAACCACGTTCTTTCTGTACATATCATGTAATTCTGCTTTGTAGATAATAATTATACTCAGGTTTATTTCTTACTCTGTGAACTCCGTGGGACAGATTGAGGTATATCAGATGCTTTGGTCCAGTCTTTTTGGTTTGTTTATACAATTCAAAAGTAGTAGTAGAGTTTTAAGTCACATAAGGCCACGTACCAGCTAATATCATTAGCTTATAACATATAAATATATACAGAAATCATAGGTTTTATATAAAAACATCATATTACAATAGAAGACATTACAATACAGTATTCACAATATAGATAAAATATGTTGTTAGCTGTGATCTGAGACACTCACACCTCTCTCCACCTGGTTTCAGCATGTTTGGTTTGCGCTCTGTCTGCTGACATTTCTGACATCAGAGGCTGTTTTTCTGTTTAAAGCTGGTTAATCTGTTCATGAAGCTACATTGGTTGTTGGTTTCTAGCTTCTAGCCAACAACCAATCCAACAGCAGCTAAACAAACCAGAGCAAAACCTCCAAGTCCTCAAAAATGTGTAGCTCAACTTCCTCACAGGCTCAAATCACCACGTTCTCCCTGCATCTTCTACGTGTGAAGACAACGACAGCAACAAAGATGACTAAACAAAGAAAACCTGCTACAGATCCGTAGTAATGTCTGTAGTTTCCCTCCTCGACGTCTCCGCTGTTGGACCCTGAAGATCAAAGTGCATATTAGTCAGGAAATGAGTGAACAGTGGAACAGCCTCCATTTACTCTTCTATATCTTCTATAATCCTCATGTTTGACTCTCAGAATCAACATGGAACAAACTGCAGCTACAACATGGCACACAGACACACTGACCTCCACAAACTCACCTGAAACCTCCAGCTGGTAGATTCTGATTGGCTCAGTCTTAATAATGGCTCTCTTGAGTCTTGAACCTCCTGCTGCAACTCGACACTCGTATGTTCCAGCGTCGTTGCTGCTCACGTTCTTCAGAATTAAAGACACGTCTCCGTCCTTCAGCTCTCTGTCCACCAGCTGCACCCGGTCCTTAAAGGATGGATGCTGCTGGGTTGGATCTGAGAGTCCAGCTCTGTAAAAGAGGACGTACTCTGGCTCCAAGTCAGCTCTGCTCCACTCTACAGCTCTGATGGAGGCTTCACCAGCCTGACATGACAGAGTGACATTATCTCCAGGTTTCACTCGTACCACATCTAAAATCAATAAAAACATCCAGAGAGAAAAAGTAATTACATTTCAAAAGGACTCCACAGGACGATACAGTGAGAACATCTTTGTTTAAACAGAAGGCCTCTTCACACCTGAGATCATGGGAACATTCAATAATTACTGTGGAAACGTTACAGGATTTTATTCACACATGGGCAGATACACGATTCCATCGTCCATAACGTTGAGCCGGCATGATCTATAATAAAAGTTAGAAACAATTGTTGCATAATAACGTGTGGATTTAGTTCCGCTACTGGAAATAGCGCTCATGCCGACTGCCCTGGACCCCCAACCGGCTAAACTATTCCAGGGGCGCGTTCAATCTCAAAAAGTTTAGCACCAGTTTGCAATGTTATTAGTAAAAACGTAGAACAAAGGGAATGTGTTGCTCCCAAGAGGAGGTGGCTAGAAGGAGCAAATATTGGCATCCTGAGTGGCTAAATCTACTTCTGTCCACTGCAGAGACTCGATCCACAAATAAGGCACCAACAACATTTGACTATTTCATGAGAAACATTTGATACATTATTCACACATTCCTAAATCTTTTTATTAAAACCTGAAATTAACTGTAAATAAGCAGATTATCAAAGTAAACTTGTATTTTACTAACTAGTGCTGGGTGATATGGCCTATAATTAATATCTCATTATACACGTTTTGTCTAAAATAACAAACTGTACATTCTCAAATAGTGTAAACATGATGATCTTATAGACCATGATGCATTGCTTTAGATTAAACTACCAAACAGGATATGAAGGAGTTAAAACATCTCCAGCAGTAAAATGTAACATTCACAGTAATGCACCAGATTATTAATCCAGAAACGTCAGATAGTGAAACATTTTTTCAACTATCAGTACTTTAAGTAGCCTACAAAATAATACAGTACTCGCGATGTCTGTGTGTGTTTCATGTTCTTATATCCCGGTGGGGACTTTTATCCTGAGGTCCTCAAAGGTAGGATGTCCCGGCGTGTGAGGTGTAGTTACGTGACTTTAGTCAGACATAAACTGTGTAGATAAGCTCAGGTAACCCTCCTCATCTTCTACACAGTAACCGGTTAGTTGGTTCAGACTGAAGCTAACGGAGCTAGTTAGCAGCTAACGTTACCGCTCAGGCTAAACTCATTTAAGCAGCCTAAAAACATAAATATCATAAATACGTTTAAGAACTGGAACCCGCGTTAGAGAAATTAAAGCGATCAGATGATTGATCGCATTTTCTCTTGGTGTTTCTTTCCTCCACAGGAGGTAAAACAAAAACAGCTCATAATTGCTAACACAACAATGCATATTACAAACCCATGGACAACATGGCATTATTTTTGATTAAAAGTCTCTCCTGCCGACATGAATCTATTCACAATAAAATCTCATCTTTACCAGAAGCTGCTGGAGACAGAAGGACCAACAGGAGCACAAACTTCTCCATGTCTGTCTCCTGTGTAGGCTAACTGCTGTCTGCGCTGCACACTGAGTGTGTGTGTTCCTGTGTATCAGGAAGTGGTCATATCGCGTGAACTGGATGGTGCTCAGTGGGCAGATCTTTAGGCTACAGCACCACTCAAAGGAAAACACTGGAACTTAAGGGCTTCTGAACTTTGCTGTGTGGATTAAAGACGATTTAATGAATCTATTTTTGATCGTGTGTCGACAGAGTAATGTTTTCTCAGTGAACCATAATAAATGATGCAAGTTTGGAGCCCTAAAGTCAGTATTTGTCCCACAAAAACTCATTAGAAATGTGAATAAATGCTGTGTTTTGACAACATATCAAAGCATTTTTATGATGTTTTACATTTTTTTTCTTGGGATTTAGTCCCAAAAACATGCATCTCATCAAATGTCATTCAGTAGACTATAACAGAAGTTTAAAAGGCCATCCTTGGGCTAACAACAGCAGACACGCCTTCATGCAGTCCACATAATAACGTCTCCAGTGTGATAAACAAAGATCCTAGAGCTGATTTCTGCAGCTGCTGCTTCAAATCTAAAGCTTCAGTCCAGTGTGAGGAGTGCAGACTGCTGTAGGCCTACGTGTTAAACTGACTATCAGAGAGTAAACAACAAGCTGCTCAGTGTAGATGGAGGGTGGAGGGTCCTCTGTTGTTGTAACAAAAAACTTCCTGCTTTATAATTCTTTATTTCTGAGTCATTAAATTAGCTTCTAACTGCAGTGAAACGTCCACTGAAAGCGTCTGAATCCAAACTCTGTCTGTTTGGTTTTCTGAGAGTCATTGAGAGACACTAATGAAAGCTGTTTGTTCAGAGTAACTTGGCTCACAGCCAGGAGAAGTCCTGCAGCAGGAAAATAAACTAACATGTTTTACTTCTCAAAGTAAATGATTCAGTCAGTGTTGTGAACAAAAGGACTGAAACCACACCCTGATTCAGACTGAGAGGTGGGGAAAGGTAGAAGTTAAAATTAGGTCAGAGCTTCTTCATACCAAACTCGACCCTCTGAATGTCCCTCCATTTTATTCTCTGATCACAGAGACGGGACAGACAGACATTAAGACATAAAAGTTCACTTTGATCTCTCAGCTACAGAGTTACAGTTAAAGAAGTCGGGTAGACTTTTTAAAAAACATTATGAATGCTCATTAAATTATGACGTCAGTCTCGTTATATTAGCTACAACGTTTTTTCTCCACATGTCAGAGAACACAGATTTGTGGCAGAGATCCTGAATGTGCAAAAAGATTTCAACATGAATAGAAAAGCCTCTGAAACGCAGGGGCTGGTAAAGTCCAGGAGTTTATAACTGAATTCAAATTAATTAAATTTATCATTGAGGTGAAAAGCTGCCACATGCACATTTAAAGACGTTACTTTTCCAAGCAAAGACACAAAAGAGGAGGGAAGACTAAATCAGGCTTTAAAACGGTGAGTTCGGCTGCTAAACGTATAGGCTACAAAATTCCTGAGGACTGAAGAGTGATGACCTCGACGACGGCAGTGGGTATTGTTACATAAGGCCTATTTATAAAATGCACCGACCTCTGCAATAGGCCAACCGAATCTCACACCGAATTAAATAAAAAAGTTGTATTGTATTAGGCCTACAGTTACTTATAAAATTAATCATTAGAGCATTATTCAGTTTGTTATAGGCTATTGCCTTTATTTGTTTATTTTATTGGCAACAATGTATTTTAAATGTATATTTCTGTATAATGATTTGGATTATTTGGATCATCAATGTAATCCTAAAGGAGTTATATTATTATGTTGCCTTATGTCTGCACATTTCTGTTTAGCAATTACATTGTTGTTGAAGTACAAGACAGCAAATTAAAAATCTTAAGACCCTCAGTGAAGTTCTTCATTTTCCATCGGGATGCTACACTAAGAGAAACCAGCACACTATTATAAAATGATTCAAACGTAATTTCCAACTCTGCATAGCTTGTTGTTAATGCTCATAATATAAAGCTATAACCCATGATTCAATAACAAGAAGACCATTTAATGTTCAACTGTAGACAAATGTACAGGCAGTGTTGGGGAGGAACTAGTCACATGAAATTTAGTCAAGTAATTTAATTACAAAATAAATGTAAGTGTTATCTGTCACAGTTAGGCTTACTGGGAAAATATGTAATTAAATCACAATTACGCATGAAAATATTTTATTAAATATTACATAGGGGGTTACATCTGAATATTTTCTGTGAAAAGCTCAGCTATATGTTGAATAATATTCATTTTGTTGCTTTGCATGTTTTTTATGTGGACACGTCTTCCTTTGTCTTTTCCTTTTGCCTTTTCCCTTTGCCCTACAGTTTGTGCCGGGAATTTCACGATTCCATCTTTAAGATACTGCCATATAACTAATCTCACCAGCCTCTTGGGTATGAGGTCAATGGAAGGTAAATGTGAGTGATGCTTCCAGAGGGGTCAGGACTTTAAGTTGTTCACCACATATGCTTTGGACAGGAGTGTCCTATCCAAATTGAGTGTCCCCTAGGGAACACTGAGAGACACCATGTTCCTCTGATATGGTACTCCGACCCAGAGACTAAGATAAAACCTGCATGAGCTGTTATACTGCAGTTCACTCGGATGATACTCTCTGATGTGTTTGTGTCCCTGTGAGTTCCTTCTGCAGAAGACTTGAATAAAATTCACAGAAAGACAAGTGTTTGCCCGAGCTGTTTATTTAAACAAGCAATTCCCACCACAATTTGTTAAGTAAAGTTTGATGCTGTTCTGATGCTTTTGATTTTCAAATATTACCAGTTATATTTTTGAAGTTATAGCTATAGTCTATTAGCAAATAAATGTAAAAACAAACTCAATGTAATATTTAAATAGGTTTTTGCAGCCTAATAAAAGACCATGTCCAACGCTAAAGAAGTTCCTGAAAGGCATGTGCAGATTTCATCCACTAGATGGCGCCACTAGATAGCCATTAATAATGTAATGTACAGCAAATACACTAGAATAAAAGCAGAAATTGTGTTGAAGTGCTGTAGTTAAATTGCACAAAGTTTTAATTTGCAGATTATTTAGACTATTAACTGAACAAAATTTAATACAACCTTGTTCATAACATTTTGACATCGTATGAATTTTTTGTGTGAGTTTTACAGGACCTTGTCTTGTCAGAATAGGCTGATTTCAACGAATGTTCGTGACCACTGTCGTTAAGTTGCATAGTTCAAACTGCAGCTCTGGACCTGTGGTTAGAAGGTTAGTTCACGGTGACTACATCACAGATAGTAGAAAATGCAGTGTTAGGAGGTGGAGGTAATGTGTTGTAAGCAAGGAATGTTAGATAATCCTGCTGTACAAACATGTTTAAGGTGAAGATTTTTTTAAATGTAGCCTAGTTGTAAAAGTGGTAGCCTATTTGTCGGGTCATGGGTAGGTAGGGTTGCATTATTTCAGTACTAAGTAGCCTATCTGTAGACCATATACGAATATATATACAGTGAGGAAAATAAGTATGTGAACTGCTATTTTGCAAGTTCTCCCATTTAGAAATCATGGAGGGGTCTGAAATTGTCATCGTAGGTGCATGTCCACTGTGAGAGACATAATCTAAAAAAAAAAAAAAAAAAAAAAAAAAAAAATCCAGAAATCACTGTATGATTTTTTAAACTATTTATTTGTATGATACAGCTGCAAATAAGTATTTGAACACCTGAGAAAATCAATGTTAATATTTGGTACAGTAGTCTTTGTTTGCAATTACAGAGGTCAAACGTTTCCTGTAGTTTTTCACCAGGTTTGCACACACTGCAGGAGGGATTTTGGCCCACTCCTCCACACAGATCTTCTCTAGATCAGTCAGGTTTCTGGGCTGTCGCTGAGAAACACGGAGTTTGAGCTCCCTCCAAAGATTCTCTATTGGGTTTAGGTCTGGAGACTGGCTAGGCCACGCCAGAACCTTGATATGCTTCTTACAGAGCTGCTCCTTGGTTATCCTGGCTGTGTGCTTCGGGTCATTGTCATGTTGGAAGACCCGGCCTCGACCCATCTTCAATGCTCTAACTGAGGGAAGGAGGTTGTTCCCCAAAATCTCGCAATGCATGGCCCCGGTCATCCTCTCCTTAATACAGTGCAGTCGCCCTGTCCCATGTGCAGAAAAACACCACCAAAGCATGATGCTACCATCCCCATGCTTCACAGTAGGGATGGTGTTCTTGGGATGGTACTCATCATTCTTCTTCCTCCTAACACGGTTAGTGGAATTATGACCAAAAAGTTCTATTTTGGTCTCATCTGACCACATGACTTTCTCCCATGACTCCTCTGGATCATCCAAATGGTCATTGGCAAACTGAAGACGGGCCTTGACATGTGCTGGTTTAAGCAGGGGAACCTTCCGTGCCATGCGCATTTAGCAGAAACCTAAACATGTCCTATATAAGCTGTGTTTGATGTACAGAGAGACAGAGTGGTTATCAGGCTGGGTCACTCTCCAAGCTGCTGCAGAGCTTGTAATTGATGCTGAACTCCTTGATGTAATAAATTTTTATGATCAAGAACAGTGTCAAGCGGATTTCTTCTCAACACATCATGGCAGCATTATTGTTCGGACACCACAAGGTGTTACAATAACTATCACAATAGAAAGTAAACTCAGTCGCGCCTGTCTTTATTCCCCTGCATGTCACAATAAGTGTGGTCTGTGTGTGGCGGCGGCATCACTTACTGATCCTTCAGAAATGCATGGGAAAATGCAGCGTGTGTGCAAGTTACCGCGCTATGTAAAAGAGCTTCGTAACTGAAAAGCTATTTGATTCAGAAAATAGCGACGCCAAGCTACTGAAAAATGTAGTTAAACTAGTAACGGCGCTACCGCCAAAAACACCGGAACTACCATATCAGCAGAGCAATAAGGCAGGGTAACGCACAGCAGAGGGGTGATTGTGTTAAAATATTACAATATGTGAAATGTAAAAATATTATGACTTCATTCTCATCAGATTGCGATTTTATTCTCGTAATAAAACGACTTTTGTTTGAAAATATTATTCCAGTTTTGAACATGAGCAGAAAACCTAGTGAAAACACAGTCAAGTGCAGGGGTTTCTAACTGAATTAAAATTAATTAATTTATCATTGATGTGAATTTGGTGCCACATGCACATCTAAGAGGTTACTTCAGTCGTGTAGACTCAGCAGGGAAATTAAATGAGAAAAGTTGATCTACAGGAGAAACTGAATGTAATACATAATGCCTGAGAGCCTTACTGCATTGTATTACACTAAATTTTTATATTTTGAATTGTCACCAGGATTTTGTGTTTCCTCATTAAACATCAGACATTTCCTCATTAAATTGGTGCAGAAAAATTCACCAGAATGCAGGAAATTAAGTGTTTAACG